AGCGAGCGAAGACAGTACATGCCTTAGACCGCTCGGCTACCGTGACCGGCAGTGTATAAGAATAATATATAAGAATTTAGTTCGTACCTCACAGGAAACAGATTCGAACCCACGATCCCGGCTTCCAAGCGAGCGAAGACAGTGCATGCCTTAGACCGCTCGGCTACCGTGACCGGCAGTCTATAAACATACCTAGATATACATCTCATTTCCCGACAAAATGAGACGGGGTGTGCATTTTCCACCCTTCAATAGAACATTTACCCTTTGCTGAAGGCTAAACGGCATATTATTGGACAGCAACGACATAGATACTTCACGATGATACACGGTTTTCTATTATAAGCAAAGGGGAGAAAATATCTTGTAAGGAATTAAGACATGAAATACACAGGCCGAGAGAAGAGTTTAATCGGAGCAAGATCTTCATATTTTCTGAAACACAGGCACTGTGTTACGTGGCGCTAATGGTGCCCATACATCATACTAACGTGGCATTTATGGTCAAGTTAAATGTTTCTGTACGGCATGAACTGCTTTTTGTCTAGGAAGACTCAACAAAGCTATGCTCCTCTCCTGTCGCTCCCCTACTGAAGTTCGGGAAATGCGTTCCAAAGTCTCCCTTCGGCACAACATGCAGCAAAAGTAACGTAACAGTAGCCGTATCAGTTAGTGTACAGACTATGTACCGCAAATCATATCGGACGCCATAACGGATGTTAGATAAAATGCCAACATATATCATGTCTAATTATATAAACAGACATTTTTTGTAAATGCCACATTTTGCATTTATACGGTTAAATGAATAAATATAGGGTATTGGTGGGAAAGCCAGAAGGAAAGAGACCACTGGGAAGACAAAGGGGTAGGTGGGTGGACAATATTAAAATGGATCTTAGAGAGATAGAATGGGATGGATTGGAGTGATCTGGCTCAAGATAGAAACCAGCGGAGGGCTCTTGTGAACACGGTTAATGAACCTTCGGGTTCCATAAAGTGCTGGGAAATTCTTGAGTAGCTGCACATTTGGCTTCTCCTCAAGAAGGGCTCGGCTCCTTAAGTAAGTTAAGTAAGTTTAAATGAATAAATAGGTTTCAGAGTAAGCTTATATTTAAGATGGGTCATACTGTATTAACCCGAATGCCTAATATACACAAGTTGTTTTCCCCCTAAATGTCCCTCGAAAAAAAAAATATATTACTGCACACTATATTATAGAATGTTTTAATTCTGTTAGATATCGCACGAATGGCATATTTT